GAACAGAAAGTTGTTTTTGTTTGTTCTGTTTTTTTAAATCCAACTTTTTTCCCATGTCCCTTTAGGGCAGTGGTGTCAAACTAATTCTCATTAGGGGCCACATATGCAATATGGCTCCCCTTAAAGGGCCAGTTGTAACTATATAGATGTAACTACTCCATAACATTAATAATAAAAAAACAAGTAATTGATCAATCATTTTTTAAGTTACAAATGTGTGTTGTGCATTGCTGTGTAATAAAAATACACTTTTCATTCATCAGGTTGAGAAACATCAGCTCAGAACCTCAGTTTGGACCGCACAAAATGACTTGGCGGGCCACCTTTGGTCCCCGCACCTTGAGTTTGACACATGCTTTAGATGGACACTTTTCATTCATCAGGTTGAGAAACCTCAGCTCAGAACCTCAGTTTGGACCGCACAAAATGACTTGGCGGGCCACCTTTGGTCCCCGCACCTTGAGTTTGACACATGCTTTAGATGGTCCGTAGGAATGAAATATAATTCGTATACAACAGTTTAATGTGAGTTGACGCCCAGGTGTTCACTGTGCTCCATCATCAGAGAAACTCTGACAAAACTCTGTAAAAACCTCTGACTTTTCTGATGATTCTGCTCCAAAGAGACGAACTCATCGAGACGTCCGTCAGAGGCTGAAGACCAGGAGGAGGAGCTTAAAGCAACAGGCTGAAAGAAAGGTGTGTCTGCTGCTGCTGCTGCTGCTGCTGCTGCCTCCAGGCCCGGGATCATCCAGCAGAGTTGTGGGTGGTGTTACCATGGCGATGTAAACAGCAGGATTTAAACACAGATTCAAATATGTGCAAAGATTATGTAAGATTTGCACGTGTGTGTGTGTGTGTGTGTGTGTGTGCAGGCAGACGCGCTCTCTTAAGTTTCTTCAGTTTATTTCCTAAAAGCAGTGTCTTCTTTCAGGTTGTTCCAGCCGGTGGAGCCCACTGACACTCGCCTGCTGCGGCGCTCAACCTCGGACGACTGTTTTATTAGCAAAACCTCAGGTGTGTGTGTGTGCACACGTGTGTATGAACGCATCTCACTGCAGCACTTTATTATTTATTTAACTAATACATGCACATGCAAATACAGGATAAAGTTCTTAAACTGAGATTATTTTTATTTTGAGAATTTTCCACACAGCAGCTCAGTCAAATATTTTCCTGTCATTTATCACTTTTTGATTTAACTTCCTGTTTAATATTTTGTTTGTTTGTATTTTCTATTGTAACAGGAAAAAAAAGTTTATTTGGCGAGTGATACCTTAGCAAGTTTTGCTATACGTTTAGCTGAAGATAGCTGAATGGAACCTTGTAATATTTCCAGCTAATATTTTGTTATGTTTGGAATACAATGACTTCCTATTTGGCTCATTTTTATTTATTTTTTTGGTCTATGTTGAGTTAAAGCTAAGCTATTTCCCAGTCTCTGCCTCTTGATATTTCCCTGGATAATGTTTTGCTAATTTTGCAAACGTTTAGCCATAATTTGGCTAATTTTGGTTAGCTCGTCTGCAGTTTGCTCTCTGCTCCTGTTCCAATGAACTTTTCTTTTGGAGCAGACTTTCTCGGCTGACCGGGTTTTATAATCACCGAACATTTAAGGTATGTTAAGCTGTATGGAATGAAAGTGAGCGTGAAAGTGCCTTTGAGGTGGAGCCAGTCGCCTGTGTCTGTCGAGACCGAAATTCACTGATTCACATCAAAGTTTCACGAGGAGTCGGTGAAGCAGAGCGGCCCCTGCAGGCCTCGCAGTTGTCAAGGTGAGTTCATGTCAGTCAAACGACAACACTTTGTTCCTGGACGGGTGTGATCAGCAGCTTTTACCCTCAAGTGCACACCAGGGTTTTTTTAAATTTCAGATTCAGTGTTCGGACATTTTAAACTGAATTGTGTTTTTTCCAGAAAGAAACAACTCTGTGCCTGTGTCGGGTCCGTTATCCTCCTTCTCTCCTGAGTGACATTTATTTAATATTTACTCAGCAGTCATCACTGATTTCGCAATTTACATCTTTAATTTCCCAAGGGGAACTCTTTTTTATTTTATTTTTTTTGCTGTGAAATCTTTTTCTCACCCAATCTTTACATTTTAAATTACAGCAGTTTCTGTGTAAACGATCACAAAATTCCTTGATCTTGATGTGATTTCAGTTTCATGTTTCATTTCCTGTGTTGCCTTCACTTCCGTGTTTATAGCCGTGAATAAAAAAAATCAGCCGGGAAAATATTTTATTTAAAAAAAAAAAAAATCCTGACCAACTCGATTAAAACATAGCAACACAGCAATCTCCAAGTAAAAACTCCAGGACCCAGAGTCCTTTGCGGTAGTGACTCCAGTGTGTCAGCATGTGTGTGTGTGTTTGTGGTATAAGCTCCGCCCACCGCTCCAGTGAACGGGCAGGACTGTCGGCTCCAGTGTTTACGCTGAGATGCTCACAACAAAGGAGAGAAGTGAGAGAGAGAGAGAGAGACAGTGAAGAAGACTCCGCTGCTCCGTGGGACTCTGGACACCGACTCCTGTCTCCGGCAGCAGGAGGAGGACGCGGAGAATAAACGCCTTGAATTACCTTTTTATTTAAATTTTTTTTTTTAAATATCATCCAATTACCAATTGTCGCGTGTGTGTGGGGGACAAGCACACCCGGAGAGGAAAGGGGAAATTAGCGACGAAATTAGAGTGGAGCCGGTGGACGGAGCGGTTAGCCAGCCCTGCTAACATCAGCAAGTTGGAGAAAGACAAGTCTGGGGACACAGCAGAAGAAGAAGAAGACAAACCCCGGGGACGACGACAGGACAAAAGCCGTCACGTCACAGTGAGTACTCGCCGCTTCCATCGTAACTCCATGTAATTTAGCGTAAACACAGTAGTAGTGACAGCGGCTGACAGCGGCAGCGTCGCTGTGCTAATGCAGCGTTAGCCTCTCCATCCATTGGCTGCTCTTTGTCCCATAAGTTGATTCTCTGTGAGCGGTTTGAGGCTCATTTTATTGACTCCAAGTTAGTCATCACACCAGAGCCTCGTACTGTGGCTGCTGCAGCTGCACACACACAAGCACGCGCGCACGCGCATGCACGCGCACAGACACAATCTTAGTGGAAGTCAGGAGGTTCCATAAAGATAAAAGCTGTCGGCTGACAGTGACTCTGCGTGCGCGTGCACGTGCGTGCGTGTATATTGTCTCATTAAGACCTTTTCCTGGTATCGACACTGACACTTCCTGCTCCAGTGGAACTCAGTGCCTGGATCTAATGAGATAAAGAGACGAAAGGGTTTTTTTCTTCTTCTTCTTCTTCTTCTTTTCTTCCAGGTAATTAAATATTTGAAGACACGGCTGTGCTGTGGTGTGAAGTTATGTCTGGTCACTGGATATGTGGTGGTTCCAAATGGTCTGGAACCAGACGTTCTCTGGTGGTTTTGGAAGTAACTTTTCAAAAAAAAAAAAAAAAAAAATTTCCAGATCATTCCTGATCTCAATCTCAACTGTCAACATTTGAAGATGACGTGCATAAGAAATATATAGAGTTTTTTCCGGTAGAAGACCGAAATCATTTTTTTTCCACCTAGTTTTAAAAGATACTCAGTGTCAGTGTTGGTTTTTAGATTATTTTTAGACCACGTTTCTTCTTCTTTTTATTCCATCTTCCAAGCCGTCCTTTAAAAAAAAAAAAAAAAAAAAAAATCCGAGACTTGCTTTGAACTTTTGTGAAGCTGAATTTGACTGGAAGTCTTTGACTGTAGCCTTTACAAGAATAGCCACACCATCCACTTATGTGTGTGTGTGACTTCAGAGATGCAGGTATTAGTTTACATCACTTCCAGTCTCTGCACGACAAACTGTTACGGTGTGGTGGGGGGTGGGATTGTGTGAGTAAAGGGAACATTGCCTGATAAGGCGTTAAGCGAATGCGTGGCCCATTTCTGATGCTTGATAACCAGTTAATGACCACCCCCACCCTCACCCCCTTCCTTCCTCTCCTTACCCTCGTCCATATGCACTCCGCTGTTGCCACCTCGTGCCTCACTGTCAGTCAATGACGGATCAGGTTTTTTGTTTTTTTTTTGTTTTGTTTTTTTTTGGTACTGATAAGGGATCTAAACCCACTTCCCTTCTCTGGTAGACTGGTGTCATCTTCATCTGATTACCCAGAATGCCCTCAGCATTTCGTCCCCTTTGTCTTCTTGTCAGTGTGATGATTAATCAAAGAATGCTGAGGGTTCATTTTTATTACAACCTGCTGGTGTGGTTTGTTGTTTCGGTTCCCAACCTGCAGGAGAGGTTATTGGGTTCAACAACAGCAACAAAAAAAAAAACGTACTCACTGACATTTATATGAAAAATAGCAAATGTCATTTTTTTTATTATTTTAGCAGATTGTTTTGTCCAAAGTGACTTGCAAGAGGAGGATTAACAATCAAGCATGTGGTTCCTCTGGTAATCGAACCCAGGACTCGCTGCTTCTGAGGCGTGTCCTCCAACCACTACACCATGGAACACACGTGTTTTTATCAAAGAGTCAGTTTGAAAACCTTTTCTAAAACCACTCATGCTATGTTCAAATCAAATGCGATAGATGCAAAAAAAAAAACCCTTTGTTGCGCCGTCTGATCGTTTTTCTATCATTGCGTCATTCGCGCTTACCAGAGAGCGCCACCTCCTGGTTAACTTTAGCCCATGCGTCTTCTTCTTGTATTTCGGTCTGGATAAATCGTAGCAGCAGTGTTGGTGGCGCCACACGGTGATAAGATTTTTCCTCCATCGTTTGCTAACTTCTCTGCTTAACTTTAGGCGAGTGTTGTCGGGATAAACTCGTTGCTGATTGGATGTCGTGGAGCGAAAAGTTCACTTTTAGTTCAACTTCATTTGCGTTGCGTGGGATGCTCCAGAAACTCCCGACGCTACATTTAACGTCTCACCAGACACGTTTTGTCCGCGGCCATTTACGTTGAGTTGATCAAAAAAAAAATCAAATCATGAACCAAACCGAACCAAGCATGTGACGTCCAGGAGGGGAAACGAAGGGTCTCCACTGCACCTGGTCCCACAGACGCTGGTCCCTCCGTGGACCTGGAGCCTGGTGCAGGAAACAGGAGTCCTGTTTCAGCTAAAACAGTGCTGCGCTGTTGTAAGGAAGGATGAATAGTCCTTAATATATTTCTGCACAATCTATTTAAAGCCAACATTCTCACAGCCCTATACATGGTGTTAAGATCTAGTGTGAATTGCCTGGAGAAGACGGGGGGGCAGGGAGGCAGGGGGGTTGGCATATACAGTAAATGTAGTTTTTATGTCTTCATGGCAGACCTGTGTGTGTGTGTTCGGAGTCTCAATTACCAGGAGGAAACCGGAGTGGATGATGTTAGTAGTGTAAGGGGGGTAAAGGAGGGGGGGGGGGGGGGGGGAGGGAGGGGGGGAGAGA